TATATGAGAAAGTATAGACATGCAAAAATATACATATCAAGAATATAAATCGTACTTGAACGATGGGAAGGATATTCATACATCCTTGGAAAAAGATATACCTCGAAAGTTTCTCATTCTTTTCTACTGTAATGAACGTTTTTGACAAATTGCTCAATATTAATATTTTATGACAGAAATTTTTTAATTAATATAACGTGAAACTTGGGCGTATCTTTAAATTAATTTACCGTGTCATGATGGAATTATAGCAGCAAGGAAAAAAAATAATTGTGTTTACACTCAAACTTTTACCAAATCACTATCTACATACGTGCATACATTTCCATATATTTTACATTTAGATGTTATGTAAAAATTTCGTCAGTGCACAGAAAAGACCTTTCTGAGGACTTATAGGCTATAATAAATTATCGTTCTATTGCATATCTATCTATGTGAATTCTATCTTATCTATGTGAATTTTATTTTATCTTCGACAAAGCCGAACATCTTTTTAGGCGTAGACAAACGAAACGTATCGTTCACAAGTTCGCCCTTTCGACAACAATCCCCGCTTTTACAGCTTGCGTTAGCAGGAACAACGTTGTAATAGCAAAAGTTAAATCCCCTCTTCTTGCGATACACAAGACCGCCAAAATGAGATCAGGCCGATGCAAAAACTTTCTCCGGTCGGTCCGTGCACCGGTCCTTGACCATGACCGCGTTTCCCATGGTCCCCGGGGCGGCCCGCGCAGGGCGACCGCTTCGCGCCGCACCGCACCGCACCGCCCCGTACCACGCCGACGATTGCGTCACGCGCGCGCAGGGCACACGGCGCCCTGTGCACGCGCGCGCGTGCGATTACGTCTAGTCGGCCGCCCCCCCTCTGCCCGAGGAAGATAGGTTCACGCGGTCGGCAGGTAGCAGCGGATATTCAGCGAAGGTGGAGAACGATAGAAGAAGGGAGAGGGGGAGCATTGGGAAAGGAGGGACTCTGAACCCGCGATGTACTCGAGAGTCAAGGCCCCGGCCCAATTCGGGTTCGTAGACCCGTGGAGGATAGGTCACACGTCACACGCACACGTACTTAGGCAAGCGTGCACATACGAACATCCTCGCTCGCGCCCTGCCTCCTTTCGCACTTCGCCTTCGTAAGGTCATTTACTTTTACCAGCAGCCTTCCTCAAGGTTCGCTCGCGCCTCTCCGACCACGCGTCCTTACGTCTTCGAGGATCGAGCAGGCAGGTGCGTCGAACGGATGGCCCATATATTCCGCAGGCCGGTTTTCCAAAATACCCTCGCGCACAATCGTGTCGGTTAATCCTCGATTCTTAAAAGCACAATTTTAATTTTATTGAAGAACTGCCCATGGAATTTTCCTAAATCTCTCATACGTGTCTATTTTTGCATTCGTTCCTCGCGAAAGCGCAATTGTAATGACAGCTTGACAGATTCCCTACATTACGTATTTCATCGGTAAAGCGAGATGTTAAATAAAACTACCTACTGACTGCGACGTATTGTCAACCACGTGCAACGCTTCAAGGTTAAGCAAGCGTTGCCGCTGACGAAAATCACGACTCACGGTCGAAAAATAATCGTTCGACGATTGATGACAAACACGAAAATAATTTTCGTCCGCGTCGCGTATAGGTACTATATTACGATCATACGGAACGTAAACATAGACGTAGCCAGATGCGCGATTGATGAGATTAATCAATAGAAATAATATAGAAATGACGAAGACTGAGCTTATATCATTATGTAACTTATACGAAAGAGAATGGGAATTTTCTAGCCATTCGTTAGTAACATTTCAGTATCAGCTCAGCAGAAAAATAAGAAAAATAACAAATATCGAAGCGAATTAATATTATGTGTAATTGTTTCTTTGACAAAAATTTTTGTGAATGTTTAAACTTGTAACAATATATAACTGAAATAATAAATAATGTTTACTCCATATGTTTATTCTATATCGCAATATTCATTCATTGCAATATCCTGTTCCCAAAATTATATATACAAATAAAATACATCCGTGCCACATATTTTACCGTAAATTTATCATCGACGAAATGCAAGAGAAATGAGATAAACTCCTCACACATGCAAGAGAATATACAGAATATAAGATATGGCGCGTAGTTCCAATTCGACTTCTATTCGCGAAGGTAAACACACGATGATACACGTGGTGCGGTTGTTCAGGGACATGGCATGACGATTTGCTACTAACGTATACGAGGAAATATACCTTGCGAGCGCTGTCATTAACTATCAATGCTTTCCGCGGCCGAGCAAGCGCGTGAACGCGGAATAGGATTTGTGAGCGATCGGACTCGATGATAGTTAAACATTCACCCGGCGTCGGGTCTTTCAGGGTCGTCCGTGCGTACGATGCGTGCACCTTGCTGCCAAGATATATATATATATATATAAAGATGAAAATATACGCGGCGACAAAACAATGAGTCTGTTTCGATTGCGATCGCTGATTTTCCGGAAGAGAAAAAGAAACGCCGGACTTTGTGGAAGAAAAAAAGGATAAATTATGAAAAGATTGTGTTCAAACTGGTGAAGAAACCCATTTCGAAAAAATATATAACTTTCTATATAAATGTCCGGTAAAGAAAGTTTTTCTAAGTAAGATTTAACGAAGTTTTCAAAATCGAGATTCTTAAACGAGAAACAACGAAAGAAGCTTTTAAATATTTTTTCAAATCTTTTATTAACATTTTCAGACTTTCAATTTTTTTATTCCCATCAAATGAGTTTTTACCGGTTTTTGCTTTTGCTGCATTTTACTGCTTTGCAATTCTCTCCCATATTCAGAACTTTGGGAATGATTTTACACAAGCCAATATTTAATCTTCCGGAGTCGACCGTGACGGTGCGTCCACATGGTCGCAAGGACTCTCGCATGTATACGGGGCCCTTATGGTGCGCGCCGCGCGCCGCGCGCCGTCGTAATATTTATCGAACGTATACATCGGTTTTGGCCCTCGGCCCTGGGCGCCACGAAGGTCGCCACGTAATCGCTCAAGGAACGAGAGAGTGTGAGGACTGAGAGAGTAGAACAGAGAATGTGTATTACATTGCCCGTACTAACGCACAACTAACGCAATAATTATGTAACGGATTAAAATTCCTTTAAAACGATCTTTACCAATAACAGATGGAACTTATCGTTGCTCTGAGTTGTAATAACGTAATAAAAAATTACGTCATTATTGCAACATGAAGGCGACATGCAAAAGCGTTCTCCTTTCACGAAATAACGATAATCAAAACAGTATTTTTCTTCAAACTGATATGAGTCTTCATCTTCACGAATTAAGTTTGATGCTCTGATTATCTGGTAAAAAAGAAATTTTTTCAATTTACCCAATTTACCAATATAGCAAACTTATAAAATTTTAAGTAATTCTATAAATTTTCTAAATTAACTGTTGAAATAAAAAAAAGATGAGTGTATCCCAATTTATTATGAACCTCTTAACTATAACAAAGAGCATACGAGTTTTCTGCGTTTAAGCCAACCGCAAACGCCGCAAGCAAACCGAGAAGGGGGGATCGCTTGAGGGCCGAAAGTTGGCCTAGGCTGAAAATACTTGTATAAAATATAGTTTGCGACGTTGCGTCTCGAGCACGAAAATCGCGCGAGCGGATGCGCGAGAGTTCCGTGAGTTCTCGTCGTTCATGCGGGGATTTATACCACATTTTTTAATTTAAATATAATTCAAGTATATATTTACTAGTTACCCGGGACAAAACATCGATCGCGCCGACGAAATAAATGTATGTACAACCAAGTCAATTCCGGTGATTTCTACGTAAATCAGTTTTTTTTTATTTTGCAACGTGCCGATACATAAAGCTCGCAATCACTTCCTCGATTGTATGCGATTATCAGCGGATAAAAGAGTCGTTTATTTTCGCGAGCAAGCCTCGTGGCCGTTTGCTTTTCACTCGGCTTCAGTAAAAGCTTATTAAGTAACGCATGGTCCGATCGTTCGATCGCCTCGTCGGGTCGCCTCTAAATCGCCGCGACCGGCCTTCTTTTGCTATTCCGCGGCGTGCCTACAAGCGCAACGCGCGTGTCCCACGCACGCGAGCGGCGCGTCTCGCGTGGGCGAAGAACCGTCGCTTTTTAACTGTCACGGCCACTCGCGCAGCTTAAACTTTTGTCCGAGGATACGAATTCTGAGGGCCGTTGGCCGGCAGCTACGATTCCTTAATGAACGAATCATTTGAAAAGCGCCTCGATTCTTTAGCTTTAATTACTCTGTTTTGTAATTTGGATAAAGTTATTACGATAAGCTGAATTTTTATATTAAATGGCCTTACATTTTATGTTAATAATATAAGATAAGCGTAGATTCGTAAGGATCGTCTTTTAAATACTCGCAACCTGATTTAAAAAGTATTTAATCTATATTTTTTATTATAAAAAAGAGAAGAACCTCATGTGTAAGTTCGACTTTATTAAGTATTGTGCCTAAGACTGGATAATAAGTATTGTTAGCAATTGCCCAATCATTAAATTTTAGTGACAAATTCCCTAATTTAAAGTCAATTTGCCTTTAAACATTATCAAAAAATACCAAGTTTCCAAATATCAAAATTTCCAAGATATAATAATATACGAAGCACTGTGAATAAAAGATAAAAAACAACAATAAAAGAAGCTGAAAATAAAAGCTAAAACTTTAAGTTCAAATTCCTTTATTGACATTTAACGTGAAATTTTTACAAAATGTCACTAAACTCTCTGTTTTCCGCTTTTCCTATACAACGTTAACGTTATAATTCAGTTCTCCAAATTAAAATCTTATCAAAGTAAAGGTCAACTAAAATTAGCGCGAATTCGCAATTTACCTTTACAAAGCTTGGTTCACGAAAAAAAAAATTTAATCGCACGTAACTCGAAAATTATCGGTGTCTGGACATTTTTCCTAACTTTGTGTCAAAATTACTTGACATAAAACCTAAACGCTAAAGAAGCCCCTTACCTGCCGTTTCGTTTTGCTACACGCGGAACTCAGGAAGAAGGAAGTGAAGCACCAACGTCTCCGGGGCCTGTTTCCCGACACCTGATTCCTTCCGCACTCACTGCACCCACCGAGGCAACATTCCCTTCCTCGCTCCGTGAGTCTTCCCACCCTCGCGACGATTTTTTCTTCCGATGCGCGCCGATCCGCCGCGATTATTTACTAAGCGCGAATTGCGACAGTCCACGTGACTTGCATCACGCGCGTGCACGATGCACACACGCGGCCACAGGGGCACCTATACGCACGTACGAACGCACGTTTTCTGTCTCTCTTTATATCTCTTTCGATGTTTCACCAAAAAGGAGCAACGACACTATCGTTTACGGATCTCGACTCTTGAAAAGATCACGTGAATCGAAAAAATTCCGTATGACACTCCGACGAACGGTATCACGTGCTTCTAAAAATAACACGGAGTACGAAAAGTTCGATAATACAACAGCCGTCAATGGAGCTCAATCTCTTAAAATGTTTTAAATCACCGAAAATGGAAGAAAAAACTAAAGTTTACTTCGATCGAATGGTCGAGGTGCGAGTGATTTGGTCCAAGTTAAACACTGTTACACGCGTGCCTCCTAAAAGTATGACAGTCCAAGGAAACTTCTCACTCTCTTCTGTCACCTTTCTTCGCCTCGATATGTCTAATACTAAGTGAGTTTGCACGGCGATCACGTATCTCTGAATTCTACCACTAAAGCTGCTTTATCCCGTACCATATTCCGCACAAATGCTAATTGATCCTACACGTGTCCCTGGTCAAACTTGGAGATAACACATTCACCGACAGTTTCTTTCAACTCTTCCTCCCTCGTTCTCCTTACGCCGCTCTCGCGGAGCGCGTAAATAGGCGAAACCGTTCTTTTGCTCTCTTATCTCTTTCGCACTACTTTTCTGTTATTTTTTTTCGACGATGAAGAAGAGCACGATCCTTAGGCGCCGCGTGTTACGAGACGCGCACCAGAGAGAGAGGACAAGACAGGAGCCTCGGTCGAGGAGCGCGCGCGCGGAACACTGAGCGCGAGGTAGCGCGACGCGCGAACGGCGAGTCTCGGTTCTCGGTTTGCCTAGCCTAGCCTAGCCTAGCCGCCACTATTACTAAACGCCGCTATCCTAGGTTAGACACGCTCGCGACACTCTCCCTCTCTCTTTCTCTCGCCCGCGTCCGCTCGTCCGTTCGTCCTCCGTCGCTCCCCGCTACCCGCAGCCACCTCGCCGTCTCCGTCACCACCACCGCGAGCTGCTCCGGCTCTCTCGCTCCCACCACCTCTCGCGCGCACGATGAATACGCTGCGCTGCGCTGCGCGCGCGATTCCGATACGGCGGAGGGGCGGGAGGGAGCGGAGAGACGAGGAGGAAGGAGAGAATCGTAAGGCCATAGCCACGGCCATCGAGTCCGCGCGCGCTATATACACACGTGCGACAGCACAACACGCGTGCGTGTGTGGGTGTGTTGGTGTGTGGGTGCGCGACGCGGGCACGTCGGCACGAGCCGAGTGGCGACCGTTCGATTCCGCGCATCGAAAATCACATATATATCCATCCTTCGTTTTTCTTGCCGTCTAATTACTTAATGCCTTCGTTAGTCCAACGAAATGCGTGCTCACGGCTGCCTCGCTATCAAGGCTACGGCCAAATCTCAATGTTCTTAGTTACCATATCAATACGCTCATGCATATTCCGATGTAGAAAGTCGGAAACTGAGAAAACAACGATATGTTCGACAAAAAAAATCGCCCTGAAAATCGAATTAATCGATGAAATTACGGTTAGATGAAGGCTGCAATCCGATATTCACTGTCAGTACTGAAAATCTATTTTTCTTTTTAAATATTTTACGTCATGTATACTATAGATTTTCAGCACTGACAGTTGCTGATAGTAAATATCAAAATGTAGCCATAATAGTACGCGGAAATTCCGAGATATAATCGTTCAGCCTTATCGCGACAGTTTCGTAATTAAGTTGTAATAATCTTGCCATTAGTCGCGTTTTTACGTGACACTGGTATTATTTTCGTCGCGCGAGAGAGACCGACAGGCAGGGCAGGCGCGGCATTCGCGATGACGCATTCCTATCAATCCTATCCCAAAAAGCGTGCCAGAAGCACACGAAACACGTGCGCTGGGTTTTCGCGTGTCGCCCGCGAAAGGGTATTCCGCGTATGTAAAATACGTTCTATATTTCGACTAGATAACGTGCGCATAACGCATGACGTGGCACACAACCACACGTAGCTTCGTGAGCCTGTGTACGAGAATGCACCCGGCGCGGCGTAACGCAAGAAGACGTGCCTGACATGTGTTTTCGCCATCTAAACCGTCGTCTTTTTTTATGACAACAACTTTCGATTCACGTTTGTCCGAGCTGTTCGTTTCGAAAGTATCGTAAAACAGAGATTCCGAGATACGGACCAGATACAGATCGAGAAATATCTTGAAAACGGACTCCGGATTAATTCGTTTGCCATTTGTGGTGGACTTTATGTAGCGATTTAAAGTGCATTCAAAAGTCTCGTGCGTTTTACCCTTGCATTGTTTGCGACGAGTTAAATAATGCGACAGCTACATTCGGCTTTTAAAGAAAGACAGAAAGAGAGATTTACATATATCTGGTATTTTTGTCGACAAATTTTGCTATTTTGCAAATTCACGTTGAAATATTCAATTTCCTGTACGTCGTTTTTGCAAGTTGCATGACACGTTTTCCAATTTTTTTTTTGCAAAAACGCAGCAGCAAGAAACAACGATTGTTTTGGAATTAGGAAATTCTCATGGCTACGCAGCGCGACGCTATCAACTCGTTATCACATATCGCTAATAATACGATGCGTCTGTGAACGTTAGATTAAAGAGTAATTAATGATCGTTTGTAGTCACGCCGACGTTCATGACGTATGACGCGATTTGCTGATTTTTACCGGACTCGACGTCTAATGCGCATTGCCGCTAGACGGTTTTTCATTTAAAAAGGATATTTAAAACAATAGAAATGTCAGTTTGAATTGTTTCAAGATGAAAAGATAATCCTAACATGATGTTTATGTAATAAAAAAGTTGTTCGTCTTTTAAAGTAACATAGAGAATTGAAAACAAAATAGATAGCCTCTATGTCTATTACTGTCACTTATCTATTTGCGTATAAATATATTTTAAGATTCAAAGATTTATATTATTATTAATAACGAAACTTGAATGGTTGCTTTATTAATTAAAGTTTATATTATATTAAATTATTTTCGTAACACAGGTTACAATTCCATATAGAAAAAAAAAAATTTACGTACTTTAAGAGTTTCAATCCCAACATGGACTCACTTGATAGTTTTTACGTAAAAGCCCCATACTCAAATATAATTTATAAAATTATTTCCGCTCCGTCCTATTAGTTGTCACTCATCGTCGTCTAATACTTATTACTTGATCCGCCACAGAGTGAACTCTTATCTGTATATTGCCACATCATCACCAAGGCGGAATATCTTTGTTATAAGAAGTCAAATAAACCAATGCCGATCTGCTGAATGACGTTCATTTCCAATACCGTCATCCACGAATGTCAGCAAAATCATTCTCCACAAGCGCTCATCAAACAATATATTTTCATGACAATTGATATTTAATTTACTTATTCGTATATCGTGCCAAATTTTTCGAATCGCAATTTACCAACTACAAAAGTTTATCGCGTGCAGTCTCGCGCGCAGAGCCAAGTAGCCTCGCAACGTAGGACTTAGGGCTAAGGGTAAAACAAGTGGTGACACTCAATGTTTGGCCGGACAGACCGCCTCGGCGCTATTAGTGCGACGTTCACTGCGCAGGTGGCCGACGCGATTGCCACGGATGGCGGAGCGGATTCGCGAGACTTTCTAACGAAAGTGCAAGTGTTTTCTTTCAACCGGCTGCCGCGATTGCTGCGTAACCGTTCTCGTCTCGCGACTTTCGCGTGTTTTCCGCGGTTTCCCGCCGAGGTCGTCGAACGCTTCCGGCTTGTTTGTCGGCTGCGCTTCGATTTTCGCGATTGCGCGCGTTTTTGCGTGTCGATAGTTAAGTTCCTCGAATCTCAACATCACAAAGCTGTCGCAAGACAGAAGGAGCTTAATATATAATTGATTAATTAATCAATATCTGCACAAATTTGCAAGCCTTTAGATTAGATACTAAAATCTTATTAAAATAAAAGTTTTAAAGTAACTACAAAATGAATGAGATTTTTGTTATGTATTTTCTCTGAACCTTTTAGTTCTGTGAAAGCTTTCCGTTTTTTAAGCATTAATTGCTTGGAAATTCTAACGTCTTGGATTTTCGCAAAGAATTACGAAGGGCGAAGGATTAAGAAATGGATCGAGTTACACATGGTATGGCAAAAAAAAGCCAAACCTTCTCAAGATCCTTGCAGTTTACATATATTATACGGAGGACAAATGTGTTCCATGAGGGGCGTTACATCCACTCGGTTTAGGAAGTCCCTGATCGGCCTTCGCGATGATTTGGGGAACGAAGCTTTCTAAGATCCGAGTCGAAAAGAACACGAGAGCGGACGCCCGCGGCGTTCGACCAAGGCCCAAGAGCCGGCTTCGCCGTGACATAAATATTCGGGGGCCCGCTCTCGGCGGTCGAAAGAGCTGAACTTGAGAACGCGTGAAAAAGGGGAGAGAAGGGAGACGTGAGTAGTACTCGTAATCGTACGGTCGGTGGCAATGTGCGACCCTGAGAGAGCAAATTCGCCGTCATCCTCGAGAGACGAGACACTTCCTTTCGTCTATTTTTAAGAACACACCGTCAGCGTCGCGCTTGTCCGAACGCGGAGTATAATCCGTCACTCTCGTCGGTGACGTAATCAATCCAAAGATGAGTACTACTAAACCAAAATTTCAGGTGGCAAAATTTATTGCTTGATATATTATATATAATAATTATAAACACAATTTTCAAGTTTAAAATGAGAGACAATTAACCTAAAAATGTTTATTAATCTACATCTATGTTCCTTTATCTGTTGATATCGTTTAAAATCCAGTTTCATAATTTACTGTTTTAATTTTCTTGTACTATTAAAATATACATACTAAATAATTAAGATTTACTTAATTAAATTGTTTACTCAACTGAATTAAATTATGATATTATTATTAATTTAGAAATTATAATTATCTTTTGTTATGTTAGTTTTAATTTACTTAATCTTTGATAAAAATATAAAATCGATAAAAATATATAAATATCGAAAAGATTGAGAGAAAATTTCGCACGATCTCGAACAGATGTTGTGTAAATACCAAAATACTATAAATGCCAAAATTTGAATTAGCGCGAAAATAAAACTGGTTGACGATTCGAAACGACAATTTTATGCTCAATCGCGTACGCATATTCTATACATATCAATAATAAAAACTTGGCGAAATGAATTCGCTCGTTACTCTCGCACGAGAGATTCATTGTCCAACACGAAAAAATGATGCAACCATTTTTTCCGGCACAAAGGCACACGCAATTTAACTCCGTCGTTAAACTCGCAAGCTGTAAATTTATAATTTACATTTGACTATTTCAACGTGAAATAACTTAATGTCCTTCATAGACAATGTTTTATAGGTATCCAATGAAACACCTTCTCCTTCAAAGCAGTTATAAAGTGCAATAAAATTTAGCATAAAACTCAACTTCAGTACAAATTTCTTTACGACAAAACATAGAGACAAAACTTTAAAAATTGTTAATTATATTTTAAGTAATAATTTACGTCGTTTAACATGAACGACGAGCAACGATAAACAATTAATTGACGAGTTTACTAAAAAATATCTGTCTTGAAATAAATACTATAATAAGATTACAAACTTAAATCTAAATATTGGCAGAGAAAAGTTCATCTATATAACTTATTTCTTTATAAAATTAATCATCTACCTACGCAAAAAAATATGTGCAGAATGAGACTTTAGTCTCCGCAAAAAAATTTCAAATTTTTTATCTACCTGTCACTTTCAAACTCGGCCCTGATATTAGGATTTGCAATGACCGAATAGCGAGCGTTTCTTTATTGCTCTCTC